CCCATCTACCCCACCTCCCCATCTACCCCCTCCCCATTCTCTCCCCTCCCCATCCATTCCCCTCCCATCTCCATTCAGAAAGGGGCAGGCCAAGTAGAGGCATCCTTAACCTACGTAGCCTGGGCTATATGAGACTCTCTATAACGCTTTTAAATTTAATGCTGCAAAGTTATTATGAGCAGCATTTTGAATTTTGAAGCACTTTAAAACACGTTTAAGAGTACTACATGGGGAAATGAGTGTTACATAGTTTGTGTGTGTGTCTTACAAGATAATTTCAAGATGAGGTTTTCCCAGTGCTCTCATTATTTGAGGACCTGGGGTCTTATACTTCCTAATATATTCAGATCTATTTATTTTTTTACTTAGCTTTTTGATCGGTATGTTATTGCAGTATTGCTAAAATTTCCATGATATTAGTTTTAGTTATTTGTTTATAGACTGTTAGGTTACATAGATATTTTGCTGCTTTCATATATTTTCTAATAAAATTAGCTACATGTTTGTTTGTTTTTTTTAAATTAGGAAGTGGCTGTTTTTGTCTTTGATAAAAAGCTGATTGATAAATATCAAAAATTTGAAAAGGATCAAATCATCGATTCTTTAAAACGAGGAGTCCAGCAGCTCACCCGGCTACGCCACCCTCGACTTCTTACTGTCCAGCACCCTTTAGAAGAGTCAAGGTAAAATTTTGAAAATTCCTACAGGAAATGTCCTGAATAAAGAGTTAAAAGTAACTATTGGTCTATTTCAAATATTATCAACAAAATTTCTTGAAAAGTAAGTGTTGGGTTCTTATGGACCATTTATTACCCTAAAATTTGTTACTGTGCATGCGTGTGTCTATTTTATGTGTCTGTGTGTTGCTTAGGAGTTTCTGTGCGCTGTGTGTGTACAGCCCGCAGAGGCCAGAAGAGGGTGTCACCCTGGAAGTGGAGGCGGTGGTTGTGTGCCACCCTGTGGTGCTGGGAGCAGAGCCTGGTCCTCCGAGGGAGCAGCCAGGGAGCTCTAACGAGGGAGCGAGCCTGTGCGTGTCATGTGGTGTTCGCACTTTCACGTTGTCAGGAGTCTGTAATTGCCTAGAGAGCTGTGGAATACAGTCACTGCCTGGGAGGAGATGGCCTTGCTATCGGCTAGACTTCCCGGTCTCATTTTCACTAACTCTTTGGCCGTCACTTTTGCATGTGTGTCAAGCGCTGCTCTACACTAAACCTTTATGTCCAGTATGCCAGTCTGTGGTCCTCACTTATTTTACCATCAGTTGGACTTAAAGATTAGCTTGGGAGAGGTGGTTGAGATAATGAGAGAATAAGATTTATGCATCTTGACTGGACCAATCCTTTAAATATCCTTAAATAGCTTTGCAAGTTTTTCTACATATTCATAATCAGTTATTCAGACTTGGTTCCTCCCTCCTCCTTAGCCCATTGTTTCCGTCCTAATTCAGAAGGGCTTACGTTGTCAGCCAGTTGTGTTATGTCCTTTAGGATGGTAAGGATAAGGCAGGAGGAGGCAACTAGAGGATTCCAGGCGTCCTATCTGCCTTCAGCTGGGGCAGCTTTCCTTTTGTCTGCATTACGTTCTGTTTCTGAAAGCATTGTTTGAAATCCACAGTAACACTCTCTGCTCATGACTGCATACAAAGGCACAGACATTTACCATGTGCAAAATTGTGCTAGATGGTTTGCATCCCTTAACTCATAAGCTTTATAATTACACAGATTAGAGGGCTGGAAATACTGTTTCAACTCTGGCCTGGATGGCAGACCTGGGAGTTAGCAGCTTGGTTCCTAAGCCTATGCTTGCTCTGTCTGTCTGTCTGTCTATCATACTATGTTGTGCCTAGCAAGAAGTATGCTCACATCTTTTATTATAAAAATGTCTGTTATGTTAATTTGATCTGTTTGGCTTATATCTCATAATACATTTGAAGTTTCTTGAGGCGAGAAGGGCTTATCCCTATAGCTTCTTAGTGATTTCAACATTCTAGAATTAGGAACTTAAACATTTTTGTATTAACTTGAGTGTGTGTGATATGGATGTGTTGGCACACATGTCATGTGTGTGTGGTGTAGGTCAGAGGGCAGTTTTGTGGAATCGGTTCTCCCACCATTGTGTGGGTTGTGGGAATTGAACTCAGGCCAACTGACTCAGGTCAGATTGAACTCAGGTACTTGCATAACAAGTTCTCCCCGTTGAGGCATCTTGCTGGCTTTACAATTAGGAATTTATCTGTCATCAGGAAGAGACACAATTCAGAGATTACTTCATGACATTTAGTTATAAGGTTTTTTAGAAATTGCAGTAAACATTAATGATAGGAGGAGGGACACTTCTAGGACTAGAAAATAACTTCACTTTAAGTATATTACTAAGATTGAGATGATAGCTTTAGACCCTGCATTTCTTGGGTTCAGGGCAGAAGTTAAGCGGTATATGGCAGACACAGAATAAGAGTGCATAGCTGCTGTACAATGATTGGCATCTTGGCGCTGCAGCTCGGCTTAGCCTTGGTACTTTGTAGGTTTTCATTGCTAAGCATAAAGAGCTAAAGTGTTGGGACTTGGGCCCTGAATGCCTCGTCATTATGATGACAGGGCTAATTTTAGTGCGCATGCACACCAGCCACTGGTGCTCTGCCTTGGGCTTTGCACGATTGTCTCATTTGGTTCTTACCGTAGCCCTCCAGGACAAGTGGACAGAGTGAGGCTCAGAGAGACAGTGTGCAGCGTCACCAGGACAAGAAATAGGAAAGCAAGGGCTGGCCAGATCTGACCTGTCTTCCAAGCTTGAGGTGATCAGTATGTCATGGGCGTGGACTATTGGTAACCATGGTAACATTCTCTGACACGGACACAGACTGTTGGTATCCATGGTAACATTCTCTCACATGGGCACAGACTGTTGGTATCCTTGGTAACATTCTCTC